CACCTAAGGCCCCTCAGTCTCAACACATCTAGACAGGAGCTCACTGTTCTCTTCTCCCTCCATCTGCTTCTTCCTCTTAAATTCCTCACTCAGAGAATGTCCTCACCATTTTACTGAGGGTTCAGTGACATTCCTTCATCCAGATGTTCCTCTTTCCCTCCATCTCATCAGCCACCGGGTACCTGAGATTCCATTTTGCCCACACCCACAGACATGCCTGCCCCTCCTGTCATCATCACCGCATCTGACTGAGGTCACCTCCTCACATCTCTCTCTCTCTCTCTTTTTTTTTTTTTCTGAGCCTCAGTCTTGCTCTGTCTCCCAGGCTGGAGTGCAATGGCATGATCTTGACCCACTGCAATCTCCACCTCCTGGGTTCAAGTGATCCTCCCACCTCAGCCTCTGGAGTAGCTAGGATTACAGGCACCCACCACCCTGCCCAACTAATTTTTGTATTTTTAGTAGAGATGGGGTTTCACCGTGTTGGCCAGACCGGTCTCAAACTCCTGACCTCAGGTGATCCGCCCACCTCAGTCCCCCCAAATGCTAGTATTACAGGTGTGTGCCACCACGCCCAGCCTCCTCACATCTCTTGACTGGACTGTTGCACCTGCCTCCAGCTGGCCTTGTAGCCACTGGCTAATGTTGTTTGGTGAGGCTTCATCCTGGCTCGCACAGTGGGCTGTGTGCACCTGGGGCTGGATGTGCTTTGCTAGGATGTGTGATCTCATCATGTGAATTTATAAACATCATTTCAGTTAATTTCATTTATTCCTCTCTAAGCCAGTGGCATCAGGATTATCACTGAGATGGAAACTGAAGCTCTAGGGAGGTCTACCTAAGTTTGTGTAACTGAAGGATACAGGTGCTAAGGGCCTTGGACAAGGTCTGTCTGACTCCAGTGCCATCCTCTATCCATCACACACACCCCTCTGCATCTTCTAGTGGATTGTAGGATATCCCCAAATGTTGAAAGAAGTGTTCATAAAATGCTCATATATTCCAGTGACACACCTGTGCACCAGGAGCCACAACAGCTTGAGTCTGTTTTCAGGGCCAGTACTAACCATGTGAATAAACATGAGAGGGTTGGCAAGTCCAAGAGAGCATTTTTGACAGAGTGCTCTGAACTTCTGGTGTTTTGCTAGGTGAAAGAATTAGCTAAATCCCTGGGATGAAATTAGGCTTCACATAAACAAAGGCAGTTTCCAGTCTATCAAATTTTAGTTAGTATCATTGAGATAACAGTTTATAACAAGTTATACAACATAAAAGTTTTGACTCAAACGCAACAATCTCACTGCATTCTCTTTAAGGCTGTGAGGATGTGTCACACTTCTGTGAGTTCAGAAACGTTAAGGAATAGCCAGAATATTGGGATTTCTTTTGATTTTGAAAGTCACGGTGCCACAGGAGGCTGTGGCAAAAAATGAAGACAGCAAGTTAATAAGCATGAGCTCAAGGCGGCTGCAGAACTCTAAAACCGCTGTCTTTTCTTGGTCACTTCTGCATTCATTAAGAAAGAGACATTTACTTGGAAAGAAGTCACCAAAACCCCAGAATGAAGAACGTTCCTTCTGTGTTTTGTGTGTGTGTGTGTGTGTGTGTGTGTGTGCATGTGAGCATGTGTGCACCAGGCAACTCCTCTGAGATCACCTAAAGACACAGATTAAAATCATGCCAGCATTCTGATACAAAAGAAAACCAGCAAATGTCCCAAAGAGATTGCTTCCTTCTTAAAAGATGTATTAAGACATCTTAAAATAAGACATAATTAAAAGACAGAGAAATAGAAAATACACCAATGATAACAAGAAATAATTGAAAAAAGTAAAAAACACAAATCCTATCTATAGTCGAGCATTTAAAATTCGAACAACAATCTGGGAAAAGGATCATATTAAAGGGGTGGTTGGGTGGAATGCGGTGACCCTTCCCCAGTAGGAAGGTGGTGAACACCGTCAATGAAAGATGAAGAAAAAACAATGGCATTTCCACTGGAGGACTCTAAGGTCTCCTCAAGGACTCATCACGATGGGAGACGGGACTCACCTCAAACTAGCGGGGCTGGGGTGACAAAGGGCACTTGACTGGACACAATGGCCCACACCTGTAATCCCAGCACTTTGGGAGGCTGAGATGGGTGGATCACTTGATCTCAGGAGTCCAAGATCAGCCTGGGTAACATGGTGCAACCCCATCTCTACATAAAATAGAAAAGTTAGCCAACTGTGGTGGCGTGCACTGGTAGTCCCAGCTACTTGTGGGGCTGAGGCAGGAGGATTGCTTGAGCTCAGGAGGTCCAGGCTGCAGTGATCTGTGATCACACCACTGCATTCCAGCCTGAGTAACAAAGTGAGACCTTTTGTCTCAAAGTGTCTCAAAAAAAAAAAAAAAATTGGAGACAAAGTCTCACTACGTTGTCCAGTCTGGTCTTGAACTCTGGGCCTCAAGTGATCTGCCCACCTCAGTATCCTAAAGTGCTGCGGGTGGTGGGGGGGAAGAAAGAAAGGATACCGCTGGAGCAAGTGCACCTTCTGGAACTGAGTCTGAGGTCTCTGAATCCAATGCCCATCTCTCAGTGCACATTTCAAAATAAACAAATGAATGGGGTCAGTGAACAAGAATATATGGCTGTTAAACACAATGGCAGCAGAGGCAATCATCTGAGGATATTAATGGTCAATAAGTCATGTTTCTGACTAAAAAATTTCCAACTAAATCCATTTTAAAGCCTAATAAAATCAAGAACCTTTGTGTGTTTAACTCAAATCTATATAAAATCTAATAAACAATGTCAACAGTATGTGTTTTAGTGTAGATATCCTTGGGTGGGGGATACAATACGCTTTCCCTGAAAATCTGGGAAAAGCAGCATATAGAGTGAGTCATTTGATTTAATGTTACTTCAGATATGATGCTGATATATAAACTCTATGAGGCTACGAGATGATGTCTTCAAAGAGTACATTCAAAGGTGTTACAAGAAGCTGACTCTTTAGAGCTCACCATTCTATTCTTCGGACCATATCTAGTCCCATTGTTTTTCACAGATTCACAGTCTAATTATTTTTACTATATATAAAGCATTTGCAGCTTCCCATATCTTTTTATTATTTTAAAATTATGTTCAACTGTATAATCACATCAAAACAACAGCATATTGTCATAACTCCTGATCCTATTTGTCTTATTCTTTTTTGCTAGTTATTGAGATGACAATTCTCTCCCCCTTTAAAAAGATTCTCCCCTTTTGAATTATTTTAATTTGATGTACTTAAAAAATTTTGGCTGGAATAATTTCTAATCAATGTCTTTCCAGGCTGGGCATGGTTGTTCAGGCCTGTAATTCTATCACTTAAGGATGCTGATGTGCGTGGATCACTTGAGGCCCGGAGTTTGAGATCAGCCTGGTCAACACATGAGACTTGTCTCTATTTATTTATTTATTTATTTATTTTTGAGACAGGGTCTCCAGTGCACCACCCAGCTAATTTTTGTATTTTTTGTAGAGACGGGGTTTTACCATGTCACCCAAGCTGGTCTTGAACTCATGAGATCAAGTGATCCACCGGCCTCAGCCTCTCAAAGTGCTGGGATTGCAGGCATGAGCCACCGTTCTGTCTCTATTTTGTTGTTGGTGGTGCTTCTTTCCAGATAAATATGTGGGTGAGGGTATACTTTGAGTACTTGCATATCTGAAGACTTATTTTGCCGTCACACACCAATAATGGTTTAACAAGGTATGAAATTTTAAAGTTCCACTTCTGTATCCTCAGACCTCTGGAAACACGTGCTCTGCGTATTCTGGAAGTGAGCACTGGAGGGGAGAGCTCTGTTGCTGCTCAGCCCGCGTCCCTGTTGAGATAATCTGCGTATTTACTGGTTTTTTTGTTGCGTCTTCAAAACCATTTCCCTTTGCTTTAGAAATCAGATATTTCACCAGATACAACAGCTAGGTTTATGTTGTTTTAAATTATTCATTCTTGCAGTGGGCAAGTCCTCTCAAACTCAATATTTATTGTATTCTAGATCATAAATGAAAGTTGCATTCACTTATAAGCAGGCATCTTGCTAAAGTCATGGAATAGCTCCTTTTCCCAGGCATAAAAGAGAGCACAGACCTGAACAACTATTATTCCTTACATCTCACAGAATTGGGCTCAAAAGCCCAATTATTATTATTTTGTTTTAAAATTTAAAAGGCAACAAGCAGTATCAGGAAATAATGGGTTCCCCCCCTCCATTTTTCGGTAGAGCGCGTAGACCCATATTTTCTGTAACTCGTAGGAGCACACGTACTTGCCATAGCTAAGCTCTGAAAAATACTACTAGGAAAGCATTTGGTTCCTTGAAAACGCTGGGATTCTGCGCCCGCCCTCGCGCACGCAGTTACAGAGCCAGGACGCTGGGGCTCGCCACCCTCTTGTGCTGCTGGTCCTCAAGCGGAGCAAACCTCCCTGCGCCAGGGTTGAGCTTCCACAGTAAAACGCAAGTGCAGCTCAAGTTCTTTCTCAAAAGGCAGGCCACACCCACCCACAACACCGTGATTGGAATAAAAGCTTTGCGGCCAAGCTAAAAGGCTTTATAAATCTCCTTTCATCTGTATTCTCAAGACAAAGTGCCAGACTCCTCGTGTGGCAGGAAGCGAGAGGCTTGGGTAGACATCCCCAGGGATTAGACCCTGTGGAAGGCGATCAATCTAGGGGGAGACTTCCCAGAGAGGCTTATTAATTAGAGCGAGCGAGCTGCAGAAAGCTCGAGGCACCGAGAAGAGCAGAATCAGCCGGTTGTGTGCTCCCGGCTAGGTCAGGGGAACCATTCTGCCCACAGTGTAAACGCTCTGTAGCCTGTCCGCGCCTGCCGCCAGTCCCAGGATTCAGGAGCCCCTCCCGTCGCCGCTCCCCGGACCCCGCCGACCCCGCGGCCCTGGAGCGTTGCCCCCGCGGCCCCGGAGCGCTGTCCCCGGGGCGTCCGCCGGCCGCGCGGCCGGGACCTACCGAGCAGCAGGAGCCGGTGCGTCTGCTGCAGGTCGCGCTTCTGCTCGCGCAGCATGCGGTCGATGCCCCGGCTCACTTTCCTTGCCTCCTTGGCCGCCTCGCGCTCCTCGGCGCTCAGCTGTTCGGTGCGCCGCCGCTTCTCCTTCTGTTTGTCCGCTTTGGGCCGAGCACACGCCGGGCTCCCGCCGCCGCCCCGAGGGAGCGGGGTCCGGGCCGTGTCCTCTGCGGCCGCCCGGACTATGGCCGGGGCCGGGGCCGGGGCCGTAGCGGGCTGCGAGTCCTCCACCCGCGGCTCCGAGGCCGCGCAGGGGTCGTCCCCTGGGCCCCCAAAAAGCAGCGGTCGCAGACTGTAGCACAGACCCATGTGGGCGCGGCACTGAGCAGGGAGCGCGGGACTAGGGCTGGTTGGTCGCCGAGAGCGGCCTGGTTCCCGCGCCCGGTTCAGGCTGGCGCCGCTGAGGAGGGGCGGGAGGGGGCTGCACACGGACCCCGTTCGGCGCTGCCGGCCGCCAGCTGCGAAAAGGGGGTGCGGGGGGCCCGGACCGAGGGCCACGGCCCCTCACTGCCCCAGAGGGCCATTTTGCATTTTTCGCTGAGTGCAGGGGGTGGCGGCCGACTTGGCTGGAGATCACTTGATAACGCCCAGAGCGGGCAGAGCCGACCGGCCTCCGCGAGCCCGGCCCCCGTTACCGTAAATGCCGCCGCCGGTCCAGCCCTCGCTACGGTAAATACAGCAGCCTGGCTTGGCTTTCGTTACCGTAAATACTGCCGCGCAAGCTGGTTCCCGTTACCGTAAATACCGTTGCGCGGGCGGGTATTCTGTACCGTAAATATTGCCGTCTGAGTCCGGCGCGCAGCTGCGGACAGTGCCTCAGTGGCTGTGCAGTCACCACCACCTGGAGCCGCAGTTGCGGCAATTAGAAACCAGGGTGGCTTTGATCTTGAGTCACAGTAACTAAGGACGGAAAGCCGGGTGCAGGGATAGAGACCGTGGCTTTAAAGCCTTCAATTTCCCCAGTACACTGCTTGCAAAGATCTGTGCACCTTGCCACTTCCTTTTCTGCTCATTATCTTACACGTATGTCCGCACACTCTTTATCCTTACTTTAATTAGTATGATACCTTTGACCTCTACAAAATCTCCAATTCTGGAGTCTGGTCCACGACACCATTTTCAACTATCTCCACCCTTAAAAATGAAAACCGAGCACATATTAATTGCCATGTAGTATTTATATTTGCTGAAATGAGAATATGAGATTGCACACTGTATTTTCTTAATCCAGAATATAGCGCAGAGGGGAGCAGATGTGCGTTCAGACTAGATTCGATGCCTCCACGACACTGAGAAACAAGCCCGCCAGAGGTCCCATGTCATGTCTTCAGTTATTTCCCACTGATTGCACATCATCTAATATAGCTTCTGCAACAGGTGAACATTTCAATATAGCTTGTGAAAAACCTCCTGTTTTTATGTGCTTCTTGATTTCTGGGAAAATGACGCTTCTTGATTTCCGGGAAAATGACGTGGAATATTATAACTGATAGTTGAAATACTCTAATGTCTCATTAACACACCAGATTAGGCTGTTTAATGCAACACAGCATGAAGCACAGTGTGCACTGTACACGTCGGCACTACGTGTAAATACTACATTGGATTACATTTTTTTTTTTTTTTTGAGACTATCTCCCTCTGTCACCAAGGCTGGAGTGCAGTGGCGCGATCTCGCCTCACTGAAACCTCCACCTCCCAGGTTCCAGTGATTCTCCTGCCTCAGCCTGCTGAGCAGCTGGGACTACAGGTGCCTACCACCACGCCCAGGTGTGTGTGTATGTGTGTGTATATATATATATATATATATATTTTTTTTTTTTTAAGTATTTTTAGTAGAGACTGTTTGACCATGTTGGCCAGGCTGGTCTCGAACTCCTGACCTCAACTGATCTACCCACTTCGCCTCCCTAAGTGCTGGGATTACAGGAGTGAGCCACTGCACCCAGCCTGGATTACATTTTTGAATCAGAAGTTGGAGATCTGGAATTCACACTTCTTTTGTGGGTCCTACTAACAACAAATGTGCATGTATGTACTACTTTTGACCTAACATTGTCCCCAAAATTTTGCCAAAATTATGGCATACTTTTAGATATTTGAGCAAAAGAAAGTACTATAGAAAATCTAACTTGGGAAAATAGAAAAAGTTACTAAATATCACTGTCATTTTCACTATTCATTCACTCGTCCATCTGTCCATTTATCCATTCATTCATTTAATTAAGTGCCTACAGTATGCTAGGCATTCTTGTTGGTGCTGGGTGAGGCATGAGGCAAAGACATGGGTCCTCATGGAGTTTATAGACTAATGAGGTGGAAATATATTCAATCATGAAAACACAGGTAAATATATTAATTGTAAATTACGCGAGTGCTATGAAAGATAAAAGCAAGATTCTCAGAGTATAAGGGAGGGTCCTGTTTAAATCAGGGTGGGGGAGAGTAGTATGTGAGGCAAGGAAGGCTTTTGAAAATACTGAGACCCAGTATAATATAAGCAATTGTTTTTCTATTATAACTTATTAGCTAAACTTTATCAGTATCATACAAGAAGGATATTTTGTTTGCATATTAAAGCCAGCTGAAAATAAGACAAATACATCATGGAGACATATATTTTTTAAGACAGGGCTCTCTCTTTCACCCAGGCTGGAAAGCAGTGGCATGATCATAGCTCACTGTAATGTAGAACTCCTGGGCTCAAACAGTTCTCCTGCCTCAGCCTCCAGAAAAGCCAGGATTACAGGTGTGCACCACCAGGCCTCTCTAATTTAAAAAAATTTTATTTTTAGTAAAGACAAGTTCTCACTATGTTGTCCAGGCTGATCTGATACTCCTGGGCTCAAGGGATCCTCCCACCTTGGCCTCCACACCAGGCCTAGGATGGAGTTTTATACTTATGTACATCCATTAAAATGTGGCTCCTCATTGAAAAACTAATAATTTCAAGACGGTGATAGCAGAACATTCAACCTTGCATGTGGCCCTTGTATGAATTTGCAGGTCACAGGACCATGAAGCTGACCATACTTTCTGGCTTGAAATGTCAAAGAATACAATTTGGAGCTGGGAGAAAAACCAGACCATTAGCAGTGAAATCTTTGAAGGGAAGAAACGTCAGAGTTGTGAGCCCCACACATCTGTATATCAAATCTACCCAAATCTTTGGCAGATCAGTGAACAACAATAGATGGGGGAGACCCCAGTGGCCTGACAAAATACTAGAAAAGCTAAAAGAAAAAGGATTTCAGGTGCTTCTCACTTCAGGGGAGTCAGAGTTTGGAGTTTGAGTCAAGCCAAGTGAATTTTTATAGTACATAACAAAACAAAAATTCATTAGAGAAATTAAGACATAACGCAAAGTCTCTACAACATATCATTCATAATGTCAAACAAACAAGAAAACACTAGACATGCACAGAAACAGGAAAACATGACCCACTAAATTTGATATAAATTGTTGCCTAGATGACTCAACTGTAACAATCAGCAGACAAGGATTTTAAAGTCGCTATTATAAATATGTTCACATATTTAAATACACATAATAAATGAGCAAATGGAGAATCTCAGCAGAGAAATTGAAGCATAACAAGAAATAAATGGAGATACTGAAATTGAAAATTACTATAACTGAAATAAAAATTCACTGGAGGTGCCTAACAGCAGATTGAAGACAGAATAAACTGATGAACTATAAAGTAGATCAATAGAAATGATCTTATATGAAAAAACCCTGGTTTTCTAATGAAAAACAGATGGAAGAAAAACAGATGGAAGAAAAGAAGTGAAATAAAAACACACAGATCTTCAGAGTCCTGTTGGTCAATATATTCTGGTCTACTATAAGTGCAGAGCCTTAGGAAGTGAGGAAAAAGAAAATTTTGGAAGAAATAATTGTTTCAAATGTCTGAGACTTGGTAAAAGACAATTTATATATCCAAGAAACCCAATGAACCACAGGTAGGACCAATACATAGAAAATCAGGCCTAAGTACATATAGTAAAACTGCTGAACTCCAAATATAAAGAGAAAATTGTAAAAGCAGCTGAAGAAAAAAGAGACATTATGTGTGATAAACAACATATGAATAATGTTAGCTTTTTATCAGAAACAATAAAGGCCAAAAGGCAACAGAACAACACAGTTGCACTGCTGAAAAACAATGATCAACCTAGTTTTACATGCTGCAAAGTTATATTTCAATAATAAAGGTAAAAAATAAGATTAAAAATCTGAATTTGTCATCTAGTTGATCCACACTATGAAAAATGACAAGTGGAACCCTTTAGGGGGTATATGTCGCAAGATAGTATCAGATTAGGGGAAAAATAAAGATCAGCAGAAATGGTAAATATGTGGGTAAATATGAAGACTATATATATTCTTTCCTTTTAAACTTAAAAAATCATATTCCTCTTCAAGAAAAAATGTTAGTAGAGTATGGTGTGTTTATGATGCATATAGATGAAATATATGTGAACTATATGAAAATGTTGCAAAAGATGAGGGTAAAGGAATTATATTTTCACAAACTTCCAACATTTTGTGTTAGTTTATTAACTATAAGTAGATTGTGATAAATTACCAATACAACTTTTTGCAGTGTTAGAAATAGTCTATATCTGCTTTGTCCTATATAAGGTAGCTGCGCTAGTCACACATGTTCATTGAATACTTACAATGTGGGTTTTGTGACTAAGGAACTAGAATTTAATTTTTTATAATTTTAATTAGCTCAAATTTTAAATTTAAATAACTACATTAGTTAGTAGCTATCATTTTGTATAATGCAGCCCTACAGCAACCACTAAAAAATAATGCAAAGTAGTATGTCTTAAAAGCCAATAGGGAAATAAAACTGAAATACCAAAAGAAATTACACCCAAAGAAAGAAGGAGCAGAGGGAAACAAACAAATGAACTGAATAGGAAACAAATATCAAAATGGTAGATTTAAATCCAACTGTAACTAAAAATAAATGGGCTAACCGCTGCCACCACCAAAAGAAAGGACTAGAGAATATCAGAGTGAATTAAAAAGAGAAGACCCAACTCAATGCTATTTAGAAGGAACATACCTTAAGTACAGACACAAGTAGGTTGGTAGTAAAAAGGAGGAAAAAATATACCATGGTGTTATGGACTGAATGTGTCTCTCTCAAATTCATATGTTGAAGTCCTAAGCCCCAGTGTGATGGTTTGTGGAGATGGAGCCTTTGAGAGGTAATTAGGGTTAGGTGAGGTCCTGGGGTGGGGCCCTGTGATGGGATAAGTGCCCTTATAACAAGAGACACCTAAGAGCTTGCTTACACCCTCTTTGCCATGTGAGGACACAGTGAGAAGGTGGCCATCTATACACCAGGAAGAGGGCCCTCACCAGAGGACAGCCACGCTGGCATTCTGATCTTGGACTGGCAGCTTCTAGAACTGTGGTAAAATAACTTGTTAAGTCACCCAGTCCATGATATTATGTTGTACCAGCATAAACTTACTAATGTACGTGCTGTATGAATCTCCCAGATCTGTGGTAAGAAATTATTACAAGCTGGGAAGGTTAAAACAACAGAAATTCATTATCTCACAGTTCTAGAGACCAGAATTCAAAGTCAAGGTGTTGGCAAGGCCACATTCCCTCTGAAGCCTCTAGGGGAGGATACTTCTTGGCCTCTTTCAGCCTCTGGTGGCTCCTAGCACTCCTTGGCTTGTGGCAGCATCACTCCAATCTCTGCTTTGTCTTTGCATGGCCTTCTTTCTTCTGTCTGTATGTCCTTATAAGTTCAGTCCTACTGGACTTGGGGCCCATCCTAATCCAACGTGATCTCGTTTTGATCCTTACTTTAATTACTATCTGCAAAGACAATTTACAAATAAGGTCACATTCTGAGGTTCCAGTTGGATGTGAATTTTAGGGGA